ACAGAAATGTCACTTCAGTTGCATCTAAGCATTATGCATCTGCTCATGTGTCTGTAAATAAATAACATTGTGGATAAGGCTATACTTATCATCCCATGTGAATTAGACTACAATCTGGTATCTGCTGAATTCCAACAGAACAAGAGTGGACCCAAATCCTAACATTCCTGCTTTCAATAGTACAAAATCTGTGATAATACCTTTGGTTTAGCCTGTATTCTCTATCTGTACTAGGACCTCCAATTCAGTTGWTTATTAGAATTTACATTTGCAAACAGAATGTCCAAGCACTTCAGAATTAATATCTGTATACATGTGGATATACTTATAGATCCTGCAACTGTCATGAGTTTCAAAAATAATATTTTACCTTTAATCAATTCTGATTAAAAAAAAATATATTAAGAGGGGGAAAACCCTCAGATCTGCTTAGCAATGTTCTACAGAAATGCAAAAAACTCCAGAATATCAGAAAGTACAATTTTCACAAGACTGGGGTGAGGATGAGAATATACTGAATATTCTATAAAAATTAACAATAATAAGAGTCACTTTTTTCCAGCAATTTTTTTTAACCTCCCAAAGTAGTGCAGATTTTCAGCTACAACCAGATATGTTCTACATAAATGGTGTAGAATTAAATCATGCAAGAATAGAATTAAATAATGCAAGTAATGCAGTTACAGGGATAAATGTGTAAGTCTAAGGAGCAAGTGACAAGGAAATAGTCAAGGGAAAATGGTGTTTTGGGGAAGTGAGGGGAGGAAACCTCTTTAGCACTCTAGCAACCTCGGTAGCTGTTGCCAATTCAAAGCCAGTTGTGAGTCATAGGGACTCCACATGGTAGGCATTACANAAAAAAAGGAAAATAAACTAAACTTTTTTTCCCCCAAGCTCCTTTTCTTTTGTCTTTCCTTTTCCTTTCCCAACCTCATTCTTGCCCATCCTCTGAGACGAGAGAGAAAGATCTGCAGAAAAATAGGCCATCATTTTGGCATAGCATAGAAGAATTTTGTGAGATGACTTGCTCTGGTCTAATGGTGTGGTAGAGAAGGCTTGGGAATGTGGTTCTGCATGGCAGCCCAGTGTACAATAGTTAGATTTGTTTCAGTGAGATAGGACAGGCCTGCCCTTGACATTCTGCAGTGGCACTGTGCCACTGCTCATCACACTGATCTGAGTCTCTCCAGAGCAAAATCAAAGCCTGCTGCCATGGTTCAGCTCTAGGTCAGACCCACAGCCAGATTACTGCGGGTTTGAATTTTTTTGTTTGTTTCTTCTTAATTCGAAAATTGCTAAAATTTTGTAAGGGAAGCTGTTTTCCTGACAATTCAACCTAAAGCAACACTGTATCTGCTACTTGTACACCAAAGGCTGCAGGATTTTGGTACCAGGATTAAACCTGCTTTGACCTTGTGACCATAAAATATAACCACAGTTAAGATAGATTCACAATTTGATAAATGAAAACATGCAAAGAATTTTTAGTTTAGACAAATACTTGTTGTTTTTCCAAGGAAAAATTCTGCCATGTCTTACACTGGGATTTCATTCATCTTTATTGGTGGCATTTCACTTAATTTGCTGCCATCTGAGAGCCCTATCGGCAAGGCAGAGAAAGAAGAATAAAGTAGAGGTAAAAATGGGAGAGGGAATTTTTTCTTTAGTATAGAAAGAAGTTTCCGATCATGTTTGTGCTTGTGCAATCTCCATACATTTTAAAAACCTTTGTAGAAATAACTATGACATGAAAATACACAGACAGTCCCAAAGGGAGCATTGTCAGGATGTGTCCTAAAACAAATGTATCCCTGCTGTAATTCAGAGGTTTGAAATAGCCACTGAGCTCTGGCAAACCAGTGGCTGCCCCTCTCGCTCTCTTTTTGGTCTCACTGGGATTTATAGGACTGGAGCTTGGACCATTGGTTTTAAATTGCACTCCAGATGAGGTTTTTCTTTAGGATGGGGTTCAGAGGTACAACCTAGTATTACCCAGTGTATCCTACTCAGTGATTACTGATGAGTCCAGTGCTGCAGAGGAAAGGGTACTAACATTACCATACACTGTCACATCTCCTGGCCCTTTTTCCAATTCAGGCACATCCCTATCTTCAACAAGACATTTAGTTTATTTTCCAGCACTTTTATTAGTAAAAAAAAAAAAAAAAAAAAAAAAAAAAAAAAAAAAAAAAAAAAAAAAAAAAAAAAAAAAAAAAAAAAAAAAAAAAAAAAAAAAAAAAAAATTCCTTGTCCTCTTTTGGCATATATAGACTACTTTTTTAATATTCTCATACTGAAAAATAGATATAAGGTCAGATGGATGATTAATCTGAACCAATACAGCCATTCTTAAATAAATAATAAGTGTGTTTCTGCCACCATAAAAACACACAGTGCATTTTTAAAAGTCATACTAAAATGTTACTGTGGCCAATAATAAGTGGCAAAGAGTTCCGCTGTGGAACAGAGACATATATGAAATAGCTCTTCTTCTGCCAGATCTTGGGTCTCTAAAACTGACAAGTTTCAATATTTTTATGCCAAAGGACAGGGAACAATAGAAATTTCTGGAGCAGTTGCTCTTTTACATAATTCTATCCTCAAGAAATTGAAGACAGTTAAGAGGAGAACAAGAAATACGGAAATGAACAGTTTTGTTTTGCTTTATGAAAGGGGTTGAGAGAAGACAAGTTTCAAAAAGTGCAGATAATAAGTAAAGAAACCCATTGGCTCTTATTTCTGTGATTTTAAAGAACTAGACCTTTATTCATACCCAGATTTACTCCCTAAAATAGGGCATCTTCAAAGGTTTTTATAAATCATGTCAGAGCTTGGATCATCTTTTCATTCTGCAACTGGCCAGTGAAGAAGTAGAGAAATGCTTTTTGTGTGTGAAAGAAGATATGCAAGAGAGCTTGCTCTCAAGAGAATTTCTGACCTCTATATCTCTAAATAATCCATATTCTCCTAGAAAGAGAATGTTGGAGGGTGTTTTTGCCATCTCAATATTTTTCTATTACTTGTTCCATTATTTATTATGTAGTGGCTTTCCAACTCTCAATGCCCTGAGCAAGCATGGTTCTCGCCTTGAGCTACCAGAGGGGGACTCTGGCTGCAAACTGCCACCCCATCTGTCATGGAGGACCAAGAAAGATCCGAACTGGCAAGGTTTTTTTCTCCTTTTCCTTTGCCTCTGCTGCCAGGAGGGGAAATGGAGCTGGCCCATAAGTTATTGAGTTGATATGTGGCCACAGATTTGGACACCCCTAGACTGCAGAGCCTGAAGACTGAACACCCCTTGGGTTCCTGCTGGATGTATTGCGGTAGGCATTTTCTTCCCTTGGTAAAGGACTTTAGAGCCGCCTCCTTACACCACTCTCAACTTATGCAAACATCTGCCCTCCATGCAGCAAGGCTGCTTTGAATTACTTGGTGAACATCCAGCCTCCTAGAAGAGGCTTCTTTTAGTAAAATTGATTAGATAAGTTTGCTGCCACTGCTCAATGGGAGGTATTCCCCCTACCCCTGAAATGATCCTACAGCTCCTTGTTATATATTATTATTTCTCAATGTGTGTGAATCTGTGCCCAAGGTTGTCCACTTTCACCTCTCTGACTGGCTTCTTCCCACTTCTCTCTCCCATCACCTCTCCATGTTTTGCTGAATATCAGCTAGTTCTGAATAACAGCAAATGCAATCTATTTTAGAGTCCTCTTTTAATCCAAATCCCTCCTATATTCAGTGCAAAACATCTGGCGTTGCTTTTAAGTTGTCAGTCATCACTATCACCTTTCATCCAAGGTGTAAAATGGCTGCCTATACCTTTCATGGTTCCTGACCCTGAGGAAATGGGGGATGATCCTGAGCCAAGCACTAAGACTCAGCTCCGAAAGACTCCATTTTGGTCTCATATTTGTGCCTAGAGAGGATTATGGTCAAACAAAATACCATGATTGACCCTCTACCTCTGCAAACTTGAAAGCATTTAGACCCTGTTACAAACTTTAGGATGTGTAACSCCTCCCCACTGCGGGCAGCCTGGTCTTAGAAGAATGAATGAATGTCAGGCTGTAGTTGTCCTGAGGGAGTTGCAATGCTTGACAGGGCACACTGTTTACAACAAGTCTTGTAACATTAGGCAAATTATCAGGAATACTTGGACCATCCCTCTTTGTCCAGCTGTGTACTCAAGTGAGGCTTTGAGATTGATGTGTCATTAACAAACTGTGACCCAGAGGGTTATTCAGCCAGCAGTGTCCAACTTGCATGTGGAATTTGCTTTTTATGCAGCTTTTAAAAAAGTATTCCCTCCTCGTTCGGAGCAGAGTACTTTTACTTATCATATACTTTCTGTTTATCCAACATAATAAAGAGGCCTTGCTCATACAGAGGTTTAAAGACTGTTGGCTTTTAGATCAACAGTTCATTCATTTTATCGGTCATGAGCTTACAGACAAGTAGCTCTAGCTGGTTAGAAATCAACTGAGACTCACCTAAGCTCAACTCTTTTAAGGTGTTAAGGACTGCACAGACGCCTCTAGCTGCTGAACTAGTGTGGGTTGCAGATACCTCTGCAGTTTACTGGTGCTATTTTTTAGTCAAGACTAAATTTAGCAGTGTCCAGGAAATCCTTTTCTCTGAAGTTCATATTGTACTCATGCTCCTGCACTCCGCCACAAGCCACAGCTGGAGGAACAGCTAGTGTGCTGTGTGTAAGCTCAGGGCCCTTTCCCGTATGAAATTTGGCATTTCACTGAGATACAAAGTTATCATCTTCCTGTAACCTCATTTAGCACACAGTTATTTATGTGATATTTTGAATCTACTGCATCACTAATGCATCCTTCTGAAAATAGCATGAGGTTCATCCTGACAATTCATGACTTCCAACCCCAGATTTGAGCATTATGGGTGTCCTGGGAAGAAAGGTGTGTAGGCAAGACCGAAGGCAGCTGTATACTGTGAAATAATAAGTATCAGACAAAATATAGTATCACAGCTAACAGATGTATTTTAGAAGTGGAAACATCTATCTTTAATTGCATATAAAGTACGTAGTGAGAAACCACAGTTATACATTTTTATAACAAACCTTTACATCTGAAGTCAGAATAATACAAAAAAAAAAGTGCTGAATATGTATGGTCAAAATAACTGAGGCAAATTTTTGACAACATTTTCTAAATATGATCATGAGGCCTCTGTCAGCAGTCAACAGTCTAAAGTCAGGCTGAATAATGTCAATGACAATCACTGTTTTTACTTAGCTTCCCGAAAACCAACAATCCAAAAACAATCCAACAAACCAACAATCCAAAATATTTTTTTGTTTGTTTGCCTTTTTTTTTTTTTTTTTTTTTTGCATAGCTTTCAACATTTCTGTCCTCTCACCTCTGCATATTGTAAGCCCATCTCAGTTCTGGATAATTACTTTAAAGTTCTTAATATTTTTAATCCAGTTCTCCTGAATACATAATATGTATTTTCTACCGATTATAAATACATCATTTTAATTAATCTGATTTCAATAACATGCATTTGAATAATTACTGTACAGTCAAAATAGACATTGACTTTACACAGTGTGTATGCTTTTATTTTAGTAATATTGTTCAGACACACTGCTCAACAAATCAAAACAAATTGGGAAATAAGAAGTTAAAAAGGAGAGAGAAAACCCCTGGAAGAAACATATTCTCACAGTGATTGCAGACAAAAAAAATTCTTATCAGAAAAAGGGTTTATTAATACATAGAAAAAATCCTCACAATAGTTGAAACACACTTTAGGAACTAGTAAATATTTAAAATAGAATTGTGCCAATTATGCAGTGCCCAAGCATCTGCTTGCTCTTAATTAGATGGGGAGGTGAATGACCACTGTTTATTTTCATTTTCCTCATTAATTATGAAAAACTGCATTCAATTCATCTTGCATGTTGAGAGACTGGCTGCGCAGATGTAAGTCGTAAGGGAAGTGGCTCTCAGTAGGCAACCTAAACATGGAGCTCTGCCCAAGGGGACCCCTGGGTGGCACTGCACAGTAATGCATGCTGTAATTGTAATTTTTGCCATAGTCCAAGCTTTCTTCTTGCTTCAGGGAAAATATCCCATTATAGTTAATTGGGGGAGGACTTAAGGGACCTTCAAACTGTGGGCTGGCACACTCAGGGGAAGTGCTTTCATAGAAGGACTCATAAGCACTGCAGTAACTGTATGGTTTCATGGATTTGGAGTTGTCAAGAGTCCCATGCCCTGGGGGGGTGCCAAGCTCCGGGCTGTGGTAGGGAGGATAGAAGGTAGAGTAGGGTGTGCGGGTATGATGGGTGCCTTCACCTGCCTGGCCCATTAAGAAACTTCTGGCATTCAGCTGCAAGCATCCAGCCACCAAGTTTGTAGTTGGCTGGGACAGACCCTTGCACAAGTTTTGGACGAAGGTAAGCAGGTCGGGTCTTTTGCCAATTCGCAGGATTTCAGAAAGAGCCCAAATATAATTCTTGGCTAGTCGTAAAGTTTCTATTTTGGACAGTTTTTGTGTTTTAGAATAACAAGGGACCACTTTCCTTAAATTGTCCAGAGCATCATTAAGGCCATGCATACGGTTCCTCTCTCTAGCATTGGCTTCTTGACGCCTGAATTTAATCCTTTCCATCCTTATTTTGCTCGTCTTCTTTTTCCGAAGGCCCCTTCGCCTCGGCAACCCATTCTCATCCTCCTCTTCTCTCTCCTCCTCCTCCTCTTCCTTTTCTGTGTCTTCTCCAGGAGGTCTTTTAATATTCTTTCCTTGCAGGATGATCTGCTTTGAAAAGCTTTCTGGATTCTTCATTTCCTTTTGGTCATCACTTTCTCTGGAAAACTTTCTACACATCTGGGTTTCTGGCATTGCAACAGACTCATCAAATGGTAGTGTCAACATGGTTCTATAATCTTAAGTTACCTGAAAGAATGCCAGCACAATGTTTAAATATTTCCATTTTTAAAGTTTCATGACTCACACAGACAACCCCATGCACCTTACTTGTGTCTGTGCATACGCTCTCTGTATATGAGTGTGTGTGTGTGTGTGTGTGTGTATAAATGCTCAAGCTATACTACTACTTTTTTTATAAAACGCTAGTTGCAAATGCCCACTTTAAAAAAAAAAAAAAATCTAAAATCACTTGAGACATTTGACACTGCACCTAAAAAAAAAATTTCTCATAGATAAATATAGTATAGAGTAAATCAATATTTTAAATGTACAATCAGGTCCCTGCTCATTTATTTTATTTTTAAACAAACCCTTCAAACTCTCACCACCATGGAACTCAAGGAAATGCAAAATGTGATAAAGCAATAAAGAAATCTCAATAATCCAAATTCCCCTGGGTGRAAAAATGAGGAGAGTAAGTGCAGTTTTAAAATTGAAAAAGTCCCATATCTCTATTACCGAATGGTAAATATTTTAAAATCACTTTTTGACTTATACTTTAAAATTGTGGGGTTTTTTGCCTCCACATTTCTTCCTTTATGTATCAAGATATTAAATTCTAGTAAGTTACAGTGGCTGAGAAGAAAAAAAATGGAAAATACCCCCCCAGATCACTCAGCTAGTAATATAATTCAAAACAAAGCATTTTTTTCCTAATTATTTGTATTAAAATCGCATAATAATTATTTCATATTAACACAAAAATCAGAATAATTTAACCCTAAACGTATTCAGATTAGAGTTAGGAAATAAAATCCCCCTACCTTTTTTTTCTCTTTTCCAAGCAAAAATTCTAATTTATATTATCTCTTTAGTTAGAATCAACTTATATGCTTTTTTTCTTGATATTTTCTCCTTTTCTTTTTCTTTCCCATCAGTTGGTGGGGGTGGGGGGAGGTGAAAAATTCCCTGCACACTATAGCAGTGTTTATGTTCTGTGAGGCTCAGATGTCTTCTTCCAGCTCTTAGCTGACAGGGGCTGTCTGTAGATTCTGACTGTAATAATGCACGTGTGCTAAGAATCCAGCCTGGAATGGAAAAATAATTTCCTTTTCCCAATTACTTTGCTTTTGTTTGCAGCTTGGGAGCAGAAAAAGCTTGTGTCCCATGGACTTCAAAGAGACAAGCAAAGCGAATGCAGGGACTTTTTTAACAGAACAAAATTAATCAAAACCCCCAGTCAAAGTCTAGCTCTATCAGCATTGTCTACACACTTGCAATATTACATAAAATCAACAAAAGTTTAAAATTGTATCAGAAGAATAAAATGTTAGGAGGAGTTATTAGACAGTAAATAGCATACATAAAATACAAGACAATGGTACTGTATCTTTAAACACTTGCATGCACACCCAACACCAACTGAAATATATCTTTATTTGTATTACCTTAGCTTTTTATTTCATTCAACAATCAGTTTTCATTTTTTGCCTTCCAAATCTTTTCAGTCTGAATGTCGCATCGTCTCCTGGAGTCTAGATCTGTGTATATCTGCACTATCTCATTGATCTCTAAAAAGTGACATTGATGCCAACTGCCAGAGCTGGTACCCATGCCATCTGCTAGTGACGTCACAGGGCAGAGAAAACCACGTGAGCCTTTCTCCTGGGACCTTCATTCTGCACTGATCATCTGGCATCCCTCTAAGTGGGTACCAGCATTCATGTATCAACACAGAAGGTTAGACGGATAGAAAAAAAAAAAGAAAAAAATTCTGCACCAGCATTCACGTACAGTGGGTGCATTTCCACTGTAGTTGCTTCTTTTTAGCAGTCTATCTGCATGGATAGACATACCAGCATTTGGTGTTATGCCTGCCTACAGGTACAGCTGCCCTGTGGTTGTTAATATGGCATTGTTTATTTGAGAAATGCTGTCTTGTATTGATCTGAGTCCCTCCAATGCACCTGATACCCAGGGACAAAAAAGAAAAGGCAAGGAAAGGAAGGCAGAAATGGGGAAGCAATGCTGGTGCTCTAACGCATAGCACAGTCAAAAAAAGTAGTTTTCATGTGATGCTGCTGAGAGTGATTTTTGGGGTGTGGAGGGTTTTTTTTTGAGTGAAGCTTGTTGCCCCAGAGCCCAGAATAATAGGAGTAAACCTCACGCCATCTGCAAGAAATCTTCCCTTCATATCCCTTGGTGGCTTTTGACATTGCAAAATAAAAGAGGCATTTGTAGAAAACTGGACATACAGCATGAAGATTTAATAAATTATGCCTTTGTTTGTTTTTTTTTTTTTGTTTTTTTTTTTTTTTTTTCTGAAGCATGTGGCGGGGCTCGCTGGTCCCTGACCTGCTCTGGTATGTTGCAATGTGATTGTGGTGCACCTGCTTATAAGTGTAACTTTGGATGCTCGAAGAGTTTGTCCCCTGACATACTTTCTCTGTCTACCTGACCTTTTTGTGAATGTTTCCCCAATATCTCTTTAAAAACTGGATTACTCCCTTTAGAAATCTCTTAGAAATCTCCCCCTGCTCTTCTGTTTTCATCCTTAGCTGCTCCTTTCTTCATGCCCTTGTTTCTCCTGTCAGCTGCCTCTACTGTGTTCCCTGCTCTTCCTCCTTTAACCCTTTTGTCTCTTTCCACAGGAAAAAACACTATTAAAAGAAGATGACAAAGATTCTCAGCTCAGCCTTGCCATGGAGCTTATGGAAAACTACACCTTAAAGTGGTTTTGTTTTTTTGTTTTGTTTTTTTTTTTTTAAATTTAAGGAGTGGCATGTCACAAATAAGTGATATCAAGACGGTTGCAGGGGGAATGATGTCTCATCTTAGAACCATTTTTTAAGTTTAGTTTCATTATTATTTGTATCACCACTTTTTTTTGTGATTAAGTAATCTCTATATTAAAATAGTGAGCAACAGAGTATGCTTTTAGTATTAAAATAATCCCTGGCAGAGCTGCTATTGTTACGGGTCCATGTTAGTGTTTCTGTTATAAATCGTGCTTTTGAAGGGTTTATAATTCATCTGCTTTAATTTACRTTGGTCCAAACTTTGGCATTAATGTTCTCAGCCCCGATCAAATTAGGGTTTTTCACTAAGTTTCATTTAAATATGTTTGGGCATTTTTTTGATTGGAGACGGAAACAAAAAATAAGCCTGCAGCACAGAACAACATGTGTGTGGGAAGACCGTGTTTCATATATTTATATGTATGTGCTCAATGATTTTAGAGCCTTTCATTAAAAAAACCCTCACCCCAAATTTTGTTGTTGGTTTTGTTTTTTTTTTTAAAGTAAGACTTTCAGGTCACTCATTCTTTAAAAAGCTCAGGACATTTTTTAAAAAGTTTTTTTTTTTTTTTTAAAGAGAACATATTAGAAGTGACGAAGATGTAAAAACTTAATAAGAAATTGTTCAAAAAGAGCAAGTGCTGCACTATTCATAGCATTTGCTTCATTTTTATCGCAAATATTACAATCTTTGTAACAAAGGAGAGGGTAGAATCCCATTATCCTCAATAGACATTTATGCATTAAGATTTATATTGTGAAAGGTCCTAAGGGTTGTCAATCTTTTCAAGGATTTTGCGTATTCAGAGTATGATACAATGCATGACAACCTGAAAATGAAAAGTCCTGAGTAACCAAACACTGTTTCAGTACGTACTGAAAATACAATGAGATATAGAAGGAAAGGCTGACATTGTAACAGTCCTATGTTCAGGGAAGGACCAACAAAATTTTCAGTTATATCACACAGCATAAAAATACATGAAAATATTTTCTCCATCCTCTTTTATTGTTGAAGTAGATGGTTATTTTTTTTAAATAACCCAAATGCATTTTTGAACGGCTTTTATACTCTTACTAAAATAAAAAATGAATTAGTATTGAAGGATTCCCTTTGTAGGAGTAATATTACAGTTTTGCAGATTCCTAATCCATAATTTGACCTTTTTAATATTTTCAAATAGAAAATTTCAAATAAATAATATTTTCAAAGAAACAGCATATCTGAGATATCAAGGTTTAAAAAGCCTCCACTGTGCATGCATAATAACTTTTCATAAGGATTTTACTACATATTTTGAATCATGGATCCATGATATGCAAATAGGTACTGCTGTTAATATGCATTCACAGCATACCAAATAACTGCTGCTTTGCTGTCTACTGTGAATGCATGTGAAGAATAATACACAAAATACAGTTAAGAGCACTCTATAGAATGGTTGCACAGCACCAAATATGTTACTGAACACATAACACAATTTTTTCCCTGTATGTAGACTGTATAGTTTTGAATTAAAAGCGAGTATTTTTTCAAATGCAATATTATAAAAATACATTTAACACAACCAAACATTTATAGATTCATTTAAATAATATGGAGTCATTAATAGATTCACAGAAATAATACTGAGTTCCAAGGACTGCAGAACCTCCATGGTGCATGAGGGAGACTGACCCAAATTGTAGTGCACTCAAGAGGAGTCCTTCGAGTAAGTTAAATATACTGTCATCAGAGCTCCAGGGAACGTGTCTCTTTCTTGTTTTTTTCTCTCTCTCTTTTGTTTGTTTTTAATTTTTTTTTTGTTTGTTTTTAGATTTTTTTCATCATTCTCGCCAACCTACTCCTAACTGGCCCATACCTCTCTGTTTTGCTGAAACAGGAAAACCACATCAAATTAAGGAGCTCAGGAACATTTCAAAGTGTAGTAGTTTTTGCCATTCATTGGGAGCAATGAAACCTTGTGGGCAGCAGAAAACTGTTTGTAAGGGGAAAATAGCTTTTTCTTGTGTTTCCTCGTTTTTCTAATAGAGTAGACATCACTGTAACATAACCACAGTGACAATCATGGGATAACAACCTCCCTTTTTCACACTTATTGCCTGATATGTTTGCCTTCCTGCCATAGCACCCACATGCACAGTCCAAAACCCTGAGCAGTTGCTGCCTTGGGAGTGAGACCAGGGGAAAATATATCTCTAGTGCATCCTAAATTGCAAAGTCAGACCGCAAAGGACAAATGTATCGGTAAGAGTATTGAAAACAGCTGAGTTTAATGCTTAGGAAGAGGTGGAAACACCCTTTTGGCAGAAGTTTTTTATGTGCTTTTACTTTTTTGGTTGATAGGCTGGTTTGCATTTTGTTTGGTTTTGGGGTTCATGGTATATTTATTTATTTATCTATTTATTTATTTATTTATTTATTTATTTATTTATTTAAATTATATTGTTTTATAAAAATAGTCAAAAGAAGATGATGTCTTGGGCGGGGACCCTGATCTGCCAGCTTCAGTGAGTTTCAGGCTGGTCAGAATTGGTACTCTCTGGTGAAGGTTGTACTATGTCTTTACAAAAGGAGCTGCTGGGGTAAGAACCAGAGACATGTGCCATATGCATGTTGCCTGCCAGCTGCCTATCCTGTGTGTAGCTAGCACACAATGGGATTGAAGTGATGTATCTCTGTCTGTGAAGACCTGTCCCTCTTCTGCTTCTCCCTGTCCCCAGCATGCTGCTGTACACTGTGGACTTTATGAGGGGAACTTGCTGTTCCCATCAAGTTGACTAAACACTCTACCACCAGCGCTAAGACAATATATGTCCTCCCAGGAGAGACTAGAAGACACCAGTAAGGATCCCTGGCTTCAGAGAAATAAACTACATTAACTCAAGAGGATTTGGTTCACTCTGAATATATGATTTTTAACTCATCTGCTAATGCAGCAAAATAAGAATGTGTTTTGCATTAAACCCCCCTTTAATAAGGAGGAGCTTCTGTCTCCAATCAGATATGCTTTATTTCTTGTTTTGAATAGGCTGTTAGAGACAAATAGGAAAGAGCTGTAAAGGGGTTAGTTACTCTGTTTTAATGGGAATTATTTGAGTAAAACATGAATGTAGAATCTGAAAATGGTCTCTAACTGTGACTGCTTATGGTTAACCCAAAACTAGTTTGACCAAAAATTAGTGACCAGAAATTACACTAAAACTTCTGAAACACATAACTAAAATAGCCCCCATATGGATATGACAAAATTAATAACATTTTCCCAAATGCGTGAGTTACACTGGTTCACACTAATATAAAGGAGTTGAAAGATGGTGGAACAAAATAATCTTAAAATGAAAAATGTATTTGTTTTTTTAAATCAATAAAATACCTTTCAGCTAGAAAAGTGAAGGCACAATATAGCCTGAAAGTTTTAGTACCAGATCAAGAGTTCATGTGTACTTTGCAGGAATACGGGTTTTAAGATACTTCTCTCCCAGGGTAAAATATTCTAGATCAGTCGTGTAGTTGTGCCACTTAAAACTGCAGGGCATTAAAGTCACTGCTAATTGCTTTGTGATGTGAAGCAGCCCTATGGTACACCTGAGAAATTGGTTTTTTTCATTCATACATGGTGACTGGAGTTGTCACACTCTCTGCCATCCTACCTTGACGATGGTCTAAAATCAGTAAGTTGGTAAACATTTAGAAGCTGCAGCAGGGACACTTGGCTGTAGGACACACCCTGACACTGCTTATCACCATTTGCTCTTTAATGGCTATCTCTGTCAAGCAGGTAG